TTGCATTTTATAAATACATTGTTTTACAAGTCGACAGCTGCTGTCCGTGACCGGACAATCTCTTCACCCCGTCTGAATTCTACGCCTCAAAACAACGCCAGCTTTTTGTAAGAGTGGATGACGGGCAGTCCTTGAGTTACAACTGTTTGTTTTGCGGTCGTTCCACGTGATATACCGTGGCGGCCAAAATTGTGGAAACCTTTTGGGAAAAGTGTATTTTTATGCCATCGCTCCCAAACAGGGAGGTCTTGGTCTCATCACTCCAAATGACTGTCCCATTGTTCCCCTGTCCAGGTAACATGAGTTTTAGCCCAGTTTAGTCTTTGTTTGAGAGATAAAAGTGGCTTTTTTGTCTGTGGAATTCTAGATTTTAGGCCAAATTCCTGCAGTCTGCACCGATCAGTCCTTGCACTCAACTTCACATTGCATTGCGCCATTTCATCTTGTATACACCCCAAATGATTCTCTTCTGCCATATTGGCACAGTCTCTTAATTCTTCCATCATCACTTGCTTTTGTGTACCTTTTCCTGCCTTTAGCAGTGTGGTTCTGTAGTGACCGAGTCTCCTTTATACCTCTTCAAAAACTTAGAAACGCCACCTTTGGTGAAGTTTCCACCAATTTTTCTTCTAATTTCTTTATAACTCGTAGCCTTGTTCACTTAATGATGCTATTTTTACATCGCTTTCTGGGAGACCCGTCCACTCTTTGCACCATTATTTTAATTTTATTGTGTTCCACAAGCTCACTAAACGAAAGAACCTGAAAAAAAAACCCCAACCAACTTGATAGCGATCCAATAAACACACTGACAAAAGTCCTCTTCTCGGCTTCAATCCATGACATCGATAACTGGATCCTACTGTGATCTGATTGTCTCATGAAACAAGATGACACCTGATTGGCTCTCTAAGCACTCATGCTCATTGGCTACAATCAGATGAAGGAAAGCTATCTGATATAGCAATAGCACTTAGTTTTATATACCGCTTTACGGTGCTTTCCAGCCCTCTCTAAGCAGTTTGCAGAGCTAGCATATTGACCCCAACCATGTGGGTCCTCATTTTACCCACCTCGGAAGGAATGAAGGCTGAGTCAACCTTTGAGCCTGGTGGGATTTGATCTGCCAAATTGCAGTAGGAGTAGCTCACAGTACTGCACTCTTAACCACTGCGCCACCGAGGCTCCTCCGATATCAACCTAAGCAAGTTGTACTTCCTTTTTTTCTGGTTCTTTGGCTGTAGCTTTCCATAGAATACATATAATTGAGCAAACTTCGTTGCATTGCATTCTCGATGAAATTATCTTTCCATTGATATATAATTTTATGGCACGACTCGGTGTTATTAGCCATCAAACCTCAAAAAGACACTTTTCCCAAAAGGTTTCCAACGGTTTTATCCACTACTGTAGAGACTGGGAGCAATGGATTTGTGTGGAGCAGGCCCTTTGCGGTTCCTAGGTAGTTCCCGACTTACAAATTCATTGAGTGACCATTCCAAGTTATAATGGCGCTGAAAAAAGTGACTTATGCCCGTTTTTTTCTACACTTGCAACCATCGCAGCCTCCTTGGTCACGTGATCGAAATTCAGGGGCTTGGCAACAGACTCGTATTTATGACGGTTGTTGCTGCAGAGTCCCGGGGTCACACGATCCCCTTTGGCACTTCCGACAAGCCAAATTGATGGGGCAGCCAGATTCACTTAACGACGGTCTTAGTACCATGTTTCCCCGAAAATAAGACCCTGTCGGACAAAGATAGGGAAACTCATCTGAAAGAAGGAAACAGAGCAGAATTGTTGCAGGGCGGGGGGAAAAATGCCATTAATGTTGCAGAAAACATTTGCTGAATTGGACTGGCTGGTAATTTGAGTCACGGGAAATGAAATTCTGCCGTGAAACATTCGTTTTAAATTCATTTCCGGAGAAGTGTGGAAAACCTGACATGTTATGGGAAGCGTTGAGGTGGCACCAGCCCTCCTCGCTTCGGAGAGCAAGGGCCAAACGTTTTGCGCCGGGCTGATCTTAAAATTTTAAATGAACAGATTAATAAGAGTTTGAAGGGACCTTGTAGGTCATCTAGTCCAACACCCACCCACACTGCCCAAGCAGGGGACCCTACACCATTTCTCACAAATGGCAGGCCAGTTTCTTCTTGAAAGCCTCCAGTGATGAAGCTCCCACAAATTAAAATTGATCTCGATGGTTCATCTATATATGTGGCCTACAGTTGAGTTGACAACAAATGTGATACAGCATTTCTCCAAAAATAAGACCCTTCCTTATAGTTTTCTGCTACCAGAAAAGGCACCAGGTCTCATTTTCTGGGGATGTCATCCACTGACTAACCTCACGTGTGTGCGTTGCTCCCGGCCTCCTTTCTGCTGTCAGAGGCCTTCAAGATCTTCTTCTTCGGCGGTTGGCAAGGCTTTCCTGAAGGCCTCTGCAGACGATAAGAGAGCTCTGGATCGATCCAGAGCTTTGTTACCAGCTCCAGAGGCCTTCAGGAAAGCCTTGCCGGATGCAGAAGAAATGGACCAGCAAGGCAGGTATCAGGGTATGCGAGGCCTGGCTATACCTGTCCAAAGGTAAGTAGTAGGGCAGCTCCACCCCACATTCCCACCCTAGCTTAATTTTCAACCATCCACTCTGGAGAGGGCAGGATCTTAATTAGGGCTTATTTTGGGGGGTAGGGCTTATATTGGGCGCTCGTGTAAAAAAATCAAGCTAGGACTTACTTTCAGGGCAGGTCGTATTTTCGGAGAAACAGGGTAAAACAACGGCGGTGATTCACTTTAACACCAGGGCAAGGAAAGTGGTGCAATGGGGCAAAACTCACATAACGATTGTCTCGTTTAGTAACAAAAACTCTGGGCTCTATTGTGGCCGTTAAGTTGAGCTCTACCTGCATTTTTCTTAAATAAAGAAAGAAATAAACCTGGTCCTGTGCCATGAATGGCTTTGAATTGGACCCAGATTTAGCAATTTAGCAACCAACACAGGCGCCTTGGTGATCTGTAAGAGACACAAATTCATCCCTTAGGATTCAAGGACTGGGCTAGAAATCGCTTTAAAAGGGGGAAAAAAAAAAAAGAATATTCCGCAAAGTTTTATATCAGAATTCCTATGAGATTGATGGGTGGCGAAGCCCATCCGAGGGCGCCCTCTGCAGTGATAACTAAGACATGACACTTCAAACAGACATTTGTTGGTTTTTGGGGGGGTTTCAAACTTCAGCCAGTGGCGAATTCTGTCTACTGGTGGTTTAATTATACAAAACACTAAAATCACAATATAAAAATATTGACACAAAATCGTATTAGAGCTTTTTGAGGAGCGCCTACTTAAAGTAGTACTTCAGCACCGAAAACAAAACACCAAAACGGAACGGAAAAAGAAAAAAAAAAAACAGAACAAGAACCGAACCAAAAAACAAACAGCAGTTCAACTGAAGGGCCGTTATATACAAGATACTTCCAAAAATCGTAAAATGCTTATTTATAATGAAATCTATACAAAAGCGATAAAAACTTCCTATGTACAGTTTTTGTGTGTGGATACACATTCTCTCTCTCTCTCTCACGCACACACACACACACAACACCTGTATAAAAGCGGTGTCTTCATTATTAAGATTTTTTTTTTCCTTGTTTTCTTTTTAATCTGGACTTTTGATAAAAACCCCGATATATTTCCTGTGCAAACTAAAACTATTCGTTCGAAGAAGAAGGATCCCTTTTAAATACAGTCCAAACGAAATTATTAAAAGGCCAAAATGTACATTTTTAAAGTCTCCCGCATAATCATACGAAAAATTGTGTGGTTGTTTTTTCTTTTTCTTTAAAAAAAATGCCTTTAAAGGATTAGACGAGTCCAAATCTTTACACTTGCACCCGAATTCTAATCTCGGACGTCCGATGTCCTCCACGTTAGACCAATTCTCGTTTCACAGCTTAAATATGAAAAGGTATTGAACAAGGTCCTGGCTCTGTTGCCGAGACCAGGAGTGGGGAAATTGAAATATTCTAGATAAATAAAAGCAGGTTTAACACGGGGCTTTGTGAAAAGTTCAATTTGTGGTTCATAAAAAGAAAATAATAACAACCTGTGAAAAATAAGGGAAGAGAAGCAACAACAGAGTGTGGCATCCAAAATTTGAGATTTTGCAGACCGTGTGTTTTGTTTTAAAGGCTAACATTTTGAAATTGACTTCCGTTTTGTT